AGTCACAACAAGTAGTTGTGACTACAGCTTGCCTAATCTTGCACTGCCAAACTCAAAACATGCAGGGGAAGAAGAAGAGGAGTTAGGACTGAGGCTTATAGCTGAGATAAGGAGCAATAAAGAGCCATGTAAAAAAAAGAGGTTTCAAGACTCTGATTGGAAAACTGAAAATGGACAGAAGATTTTCAGATTCTGTAAAGTAACTGGAGACAACAGTCTGAGTTGCTTGACAATGCAGAGGTCAATTCTTCTAGCTGAACAGCAAAAATGCTATGAAGTGATCCCATTTCAGGGGTTAGAGTCCTCAGTATAATGGAGGAGGAAAGTAAATAGCCAGTATAGCTGGGGGGTAAAGTTACACTCCAAAAAATTAAACATTGCTTGTCCCACTTTCAAAGTTTACTGGCTTTTAACTTGTACTAAGGTTCTTTGGCTTTAATCTTTTCCAGACATGAAGGCAGAAAACGAGCCGATTCCCCAGCCTCACCAAGCCAAGGAGGAAGGGAACTACAGAAAAGCCAGCATGTAATCTACAGCTATCAGCATCAAACGTGTATCAGATTTTGCCTGGATATTTTCCCCCAAGGCTCAAACAATAAGGATGGCCCAAGCAGTGCAAGCTGAACTRAAAAACAGCACAGAAAAACAAGGCCTGGGGATCTGTCAGACCCTTCCCCTGGTTCAAGGCAGAACCTGCCAACTCCACACAATCCATGGCGGATGTCTATCTATCGAAATTGTTTTTAAGAGTGATCCAGAGATACAGACTCCACAGTTTATGACAGCACTCAATTATCCTTGTTAGAAAACCTCCTCACTATCTAATCTGAATCTTTTGTTGCTATAGTTTAAAGGTCTTATTTCTTGTCACATCAGATAGGCAAGATAATTTATGTATCTGAAGACTTACTATATCTAAGCCCTAATCTTCTCTTCCCTAACCTAAACACATGATTCTTACTAACTTCTGACCTATTTTTATCTCTCTGATAATTTTCAACTGTCCAATTAGACAGCTAATAAAACCCACACTGAGGACAAACAAGAGCAAAAATGGTTAGATGGTAATTAAGTTAGATGTTCTCAAATCAACTAAGTCTGCTGAAATTCCCCCTAAGGTATTTAGAGGTGTCTGGATCAGTGTCAGAATTATTAACAGTTATTTTTCAGAATTCATACAGAACAGCAGCAATCCCAAAAGCCTTGAAAATATCTAGTGTCTACCTTAAAAAAACTGGGACAGGCACAGCCAAGGAAATAGAGGCTGAGCAATTTAATTTCAATTTCCCCAAAGTAAGGAACAAACATAGAAGCATTTCTCAGATAATAAGGTAACACCTCAGATGTGTGAAAAACAGGTTATTCAAATGCAACAAAATATATTTGACAGAGTATTAAACCTGTAGATATGGGAGCAGCAGCAGGCAGCCTGGCTTCAGTGAGGCTTTAGACTTGGTTTCTTATGAGACTCTTGTAAGCTAATGACAGATATACAAACCTGCAAAAGGAAGTAATTTCATACATGCAGATGACACTAAGCTTCTATGGGCTACCTGCATGCGGAAAGACAAGATTACTGCTTAAAATTATCTTAATAAAATTGAGAAATACCCTGCAGAAAATGCAACTAATTGAAAGTACACAGGGAATTCTAGACCTTAGCAGGAGTAAATAACAGCAGAATCATAAGATGGAGAATGCCCAGCTAGGCAGCAGTATAGGAGAACACTGAGGTGTTCTGAGCTGATCATAACCCGACCAGCAGCCACACTAGCAAAAGTGCCAAAACCTCATGCTGGGATGCATGGGACACCAGGTTGGATGTCAGCAGAAATGKATGATGGGACAGGGAGCTGCCATCAAAAGAACAAGGAGAAAGGCTGCTCCGAAGGAAAATCCGGAGCACTGGAGTTATCTGCTGTTTACCCACTTCATTAAGGGAATTTCAATATTAAGCCTCCCAGTCTTGTACTGTTACTATCACCAGAGACATGAATATAAAATTAATATAGACATAAAATACTTTTTTGGGGGCAAATAACCCGCCCTGTTTTCTACATCCCCAAAAGTAAATGCCTTAAAAGCTTTTACTCCTTCTAGGAAGCAGAAGAACTGCCCACATGAAGATCACACAACCARCCATCACAACTAGAACAGTATTTAACATATAAAACCAAGATGTACATCCCCAATAATATGTACATCTGGATAGCTGTATAAACTCTCACAGGATATCTCAGTAGCTTTTTATTTTAATTTCCAATATATATCTGCTTTTTATCAGTGGTAAAAATGTACAGGTGGAATGTGATATCTCTACTACGAAAAAAAAATAAACAAGAGAAGAAACTGCAAAGTCTGACTGTGTCTTTTTTAAGATTGTCCATGATGACTACAATGAGATTGCTAAAAAAAAAAAAAAAAAAGATTACTCATTCAGATTTACTACCACAGCAAAAAGTCTGAGATTAATGACTGCTACAATATATTTGAAAAATGACTAAGCCAATTAATCTTGCACATCTGTAAATGGAATAGCAGGAAAATTTTTGAAGAACTTCACTTMGGATTGCCAAGGTTCTGCTGACATTGATAAGCAGGGTAATTAGTAAAGGATATTAATGTACTAATATAGTGCTGGTTCAAGTCCAGCCTGGAAGAACACGCAACCCCATGCAGAAAGAAACAGTGCCATCCTGGTGACTGCACATCATGAAATCTCTGCCCCTTGTTGCTCTTAGCTGACTGTGTCACGGAGAGCAGGAAAAACCATCTTCAGCAACGGCAAAGCCATCACAACTACTGAGGGAAACTGCAGAGACTAACAAAGTAAATGGAAGATTCGGGCCCAGTACTGTGAAAATGAAACAGTACTGAAGCACCAAGGCCCAGTGAACAACGGTGCATCAAGTCTAACAACTTAGGAGCTCCTGTTAAGAGACAGGCACTACGACAACTTTGTGTCTGTGCCWAATCATTACTAAAATACAACAGAAACATAAACTTTTAAATTAAATCATAAGCTAAATAAGAATACATATAGTTTTAAAAATAATAAAGAATCATATTTTATGTCTTAAGAATTGTCTAAGTTTTAATTTTTAGGCTAATTAATTGAGGGTGATCTAACCTGTAATTTAAAACAATTTTTCAGGTAAGAAGCAAAGCACATTAAATGTTATGCTGTTTCACTTATTTAAATACTCATCTCTGCATATGAGATCCTGCAGTCTATTATATATTCATGCACACCTGCACATAACACAAACCATGTTAGAATGTATCTGATTTTCTTTCCMGTTTGCCTGCCATTCTCAGCTTCTGAATTACTAAAGAAATGAAAGAGAAGATCTAGCTTTCAGGCTCCTTACAGGAGTTTTTCTCCCATTATTTACTCYGTAGCAATTAGAAAAGCAACACATTTTCTGTATTTAAGCCACAGTAAAAAGCTGCTTTCAGTTCCTCTCCTAACTTTTGCACAACAAATCTTATTCACTCACTATTCAGGCAATCAAGAACTTTCAAAATTACAAAGAAATGCTATTATCAGCATAATTAGAACCGAGTCTTTCACATGCAGTGTTCTTACATGACAAGATGTRAGAAGTAGCAATCTATTCACTGCTGTGACAAAGTGTACCTTAATAAAACAGATTTTCAAACAATTTGTTTGTTTTATGCAAATCCTTGCAGCATAACCCAGATGTTTGGACATTTGTTTTCAAAAGTTCCCMTCCCTTTTTTCTTTGTCATAGCCTAACATACTTCAAGCAGTTTCTTGGCAGAAACTAAAACATCTTTTATCTGTAAAAGGAGGCGAATTCAACTTCTTGCACATCATCTTTTGCCATTCTACCAAAATACAGATATTACAAACACGTTACGAAGCCATGAACAAGGCAGTGCATAACTGTACACTGCAAATGACTATGCAGAGCACGCCTTCTTAGGTGTTCTTAATATTACATTCAGGAAAATGATATCCCATGGTTACTTCTGGGTCACCAGAGTAAATTCAGAAGCAACACATCTAGTGTGTCTTTGCTCTTCTGAATGGTCTTTGAAGTTCCCTTGCTCTAGATTTTAGGCGCCAAGCTAAAAGAATATAATTAAAATAAAAGCAGATGCCGCCCTTTGTTTGCTTTGAGACAGAAACATTTATTAAAATGATTTATTAGTACAGAAAATATTTACTGTATCATTTCAAGAAGAAGAAACTGCATCTTACAGGAGACCACCACCTAACAACTACTTTCTCCTTTATTTTATTTCTTGTCAAGTTTTCATCTGCAGTTCACTAGAAGATCTGCCATGTAGCCACCTGCAAGGATTGACACGYTGCATGTCTACCTGCCACAGGCCATGCTTATCGGATCAATAATACACTGGAATCAATGGAAGGCAACTGTTGATTTCCATAGGCTTTGGATAGCCCGCCTATGCTCTAAGGATTTAATGATTATAGTAGATATCTACATCCAAAGTACACTGTAATTTGTTAAGTCAGGATGCAATCTCTGGAGCCACCTAGTTCAGGCACTGCTCTCCTCCCATCCCAGTTATTTTTCAGCGCAGCCCCCACGACCCTGGGCGCCGGCAGCAGGTCGGCAGCAGTGACCACAAGCCCAMGAGAGCCGGTCAGAGCTGCCCATTCCACGTCCTGCTCTGTCCACGCATGTGGTGGCAGAGGCAGCCCAGGCGTCTCGCTTGGAACTACCCGCRGAAACGAGGAGCAGCACTGGGGCCATCTGAGCAGATCACACCATCTTCCCACAGAAAAGCCAGTGCCCTGGAGCTGGTCCACAGACTCTTTTTGGAAGGGATGAAGTTAAGCCAGCTGCATTTCAGAAGTCTTGCAATAACAAACCCCACACTTTCCACCTTGCATACTGAGATACAGACTCAGTCATTAACCAGCACTTCAATGTTTTTCAAAATTATACACAATTCCTAGATGGTTTTCAAAGAGATACTAAGAATATTAATATATGAACACTGACCTTGTTTCTTTTAACCCTTCTTTCTGAATGACTTCCAATATTTGTTTTGCAGTCATTGGTGAGTTGGGGTATTTTTCCAATGCCTAAAAAGAAATAATAAATGTTTAAGTGACAAGGCACAGCTGTCCTGTGAATTTTAAAGGTCATGTGAACATGCAGTCTCTACACGATCATTTGTGAAAGGCAGGGAACTGTAGTGTTGAGACTGGAGTCCTCTGTCTGTTGGAAGGTCAGACACAAGCCAGGAAACTGCAGCAAGAGTAAGACCTACTTGCTGCTTGTCTGTATCATCTGCTAAAATGCCTGGGAAATACTCTTGCCAGGTTCCAAATAAACCAAAGAGTTAAAATACGAAACTAATTTTAGGACGCAGAAAACAGTTTCTTTCAGGCAGCAAGAAAAAAAAAGGCAAAAACGAAAGAAAGAGAAAGCTAGTTTCCTCTATTACTTAAAAACTATTTTAGGTCATTTGAATATTCTACACTTAGGTTCTGCCATGACCTCAAAAAATTGTCTAAGAGCTTCCATTTGCAGAGGAAGAGCTACTGTGACACAGTTTGACACAGATAGGTTTTTAATTTTAAATGTTTTTTTTTGTTTCTAACAAAGATGAAAAATGAAGTAGTTGGAGCAGTCACAGAAGCACGTAAGATGCTACATGACTCAAAGTGCAGTATATTTTTCCAGTTCAGCTCAGTTTTCCACTCCTTTGCCTTTTCCAATTGAGTCCAAATTAACCCACTCTTCTTCCCAGCTACAGTCATCTTATATGGGATTTTCTACTTTTTGCATTTCCCTTTTTCCCCCATCAGTTTTAAGCAGTTACCCACATCAGCCACTGCTTTGCCCATGTAAGTGCCAGGCTGACAGCCCTTTTACTCAGCAACAAAAGGTGCAGCACAGGCAGGAGCAATGCAAGCTTCTCTACCGTGTCTTGCCAGCATATTGCAGCAACGTCCTGCATTTCCACCATGGGCAAACGAGAAATCGGTTTGGTCTCCAAACTCACCCCGTCCTGATGGTTACCAATGGCTGGCAACTGGGAAAGCAGGTACTACTGGGTGGTCACCTGCCCACGAGGAACTAGAGACACCACCAAATCGTGCCATGGGAATCACCAAAGTGTGAAGGGTGTCACCCAGGGCTGTGATCAAGCAGCTCGCCAAAAGACAAAGCCTCCCTCCTCACGACCAGGTCCTTGTCCAGCTCAGCCCTCTCCTGCCATTCCGCAGTTCTGATTTGCTGCCTGTTTCTCCCTTTCTCATCCAAAACACAGTTTACCAAATCCTTAGGATCTTCTGTTAAAGGTGTGCTTGGTAGCCCTTACCTTTCAGTTCTACAAAAGGAAAATGCAGATTGAGGGCTGCACTAGAAAGGTTTGGGAGCTGAAGTGAGCTTCTTGCACGTACATAAATCGGCAAGATTCAAAAGGGAGATTTGAAAGGAGAAAGAACAGTGGTCAGGAAAGAGCATGACAATGAATACGGTCAGAAGGAGCTGCAAGGGCTGGAAAGGGGGCCTTTGCACAGCAAGGGAAGAGAAATTACATGCTGYGCTAGTGGAAGAACCACTGACACATTGGAAAAATGACAACGTATGTCGGATTAAGACTAAGATGAGAAAGGATTAATGCTGTGAAGAGACAAAAATGGAAACCTTAACTTCTGGAAGGAAGACAAGGAAAACAGATACAGCAAAATGACACACTGAAACAGAAGGAAAACGAGGGAACTGAATTGAACTGGGAAGACTCCAGAGGGCAAACTGGGTAAAACTGGAAAGGACAGAAGAGGAAACTACACTGTACTGGACACGGCCATGAAGAAACTGGGTGCACTTGAAAGCGGGGTTACTCACTGTGGAGGATTCCCTGTTTCTCTTCCTGAGTACAGGCCCCTCAGCACACCTGGGCAGCTGCTCCCTGCAATTGAGAAAATGTGGGTAGCCCTGTCCCCTCCTCTACGCCACCGCATCCTGCTCTAGCGAGGCAGTTAAGAGCTGAGTGTCACCAGGCAAGGTGGATGCCAGTGGGGAGGAAAGAGAAAGGCGGCGCAGCCACCGCAGGTGACGGCGCTGCGGGACACGGGCTGCGGGACACGGGCGTCTTCACCAGCACAGTGACCGCGGCACGCAGCACGGCGCCACCGCGGCCCAGGGCTCAGCCAAAGCCACGGGGCAGCGTTTAAATGCCATGGCACAAAGGAAACATTCAGGGCAGAATGGCGAGCTGAAATGCGGGGCATGTTGGGCTGGCTGGTGCTGCCAGAGCCAACAACGGCCCGCGGGGCGGCCGGGTTCTGCCGTGGGGCCGGCTCCGCACGGACCCTGCATCCACTCTGCCCATCGAAGCCCTTCAGCACAGGCCTGGGCTCTGAAGAACTGCTTCGTACCCTAACTGGAAAGCACAATTGTCCAGCTCAATCTGCTTAATTTGAAAACAATCTTATCRTGCAGCCAATTTATTTTTCTTTATCACAATAAAGATTTAGTTGAGAATATTTGCAAGGATGTTTTTTGTGCCCCTCCGGCCCCCCTCCCACTTCTGCTTCCAAAAAMCCTTTAGCCAACTCATTTATCATGGCATGAAAATAAAAATAACTACTCAGAAAAACATTCTAATGACAATTCCATTATTTTCTTCCCCCAGCTACAGAAAACAGTATTATTTAAGCATCTGTGAGCTAAAGGTTACAATGAACTGAAAATTGCACTAGTGTCTCTTGCCACCAACATCACCGAGGACCCACAATGACTTTCGCATTTATAAGTCTTTTAAAAATAGTAGTAGAAAATCAAACTGAATTACTAACTGTCCCTTAAAGCAAATGATAAAATAAATGCAGTAGCATAATGAAGCCACAGACTCCCTGGTCAGAAAAAAGGAATGCTGAAGTCTCTATGTGTTTTAATATCCTTCTCCTTCCTCCCACTCCACCCACCCATTCCATCATATCTTGTTGGGCAGTGACTGGGCAATGCTGAAATTGAAAGCAGCCCAGGAACTCTCAGGAAGAGTGTGACTGTTTCACTGCATCTTGTTAAGGAGAGCAGCGGCAGAAGAATGGGTTGCACTGGCTGGCACCTCTGGCACCGGGGATCAAATCCGCCCTATTTATTCATGTCGTGTCGTGCAGCTATTGGAAGGGACAGCGACTGAGGGCACAAAGGATGTGCCTTCTACCTGGAAGTCTGCAAGATGGACGGGGTAGTTGGTTAAAACGCAGGTTCAACACCCACAGACAAGACGATGCCGACTCCAGCGAGCGCGAGCAGAGGGAGGCCAAGCGACGAGTGAGGGGCGGTCAGAGCCTCGGCTGTGGCTGCGTCGCCGACACACATCAACCCCCGGCTCCAGGGAGATTGAATAACGGCACAGATCCCACAAACACATGAATTCCCAGCCTAATGGGAAACATATGTCGGTTATATGCGACAAGAAGCAATCAAAATTCCTTCTCTCGGCAGGGTCACTGTCACTCTGTGCCTCTGCAGAGTTCAGCAAAGCAGATGCCACAGGGGGAAAAAACTGTCTCCCAGGAAGCTGCTAACTGGAGAATCCTGGAGCCCAGGCAGGACTCGYGGCTCTGCCTAAGGCAGTAGCCCAGGGCACGCAGCTCACCTGCTAAACGAGGACCTCCCTGCAACGGAGGGACCATTAGTCTCATTTGTAGGTCCCATTGGATCAGAGCTGCTCTCCCATTTGTGCGTCAGCCTCTAGAGGGAACAAAAGCAGAGGGGCAGCAGGATGCGAGGTGAACCCCAAGGCCACCTGGATATCACACCAAAAGCCACCTGCAAACGCAGCGCTGCTGCCGGAGAAGCAGCCGCTATCCCCACAGCTTCATCTGTTGGCGAGGACGAGTCCTCTCCACAAGAGCCACGCGCAGGCGGACACAGCGCTGCCATCCAGGATCTGGTGCCGCGGCCCCTGCCCAAGGAGGGCAGGCCGAGGCCCCATCCCTGCTGCCAGAGGCTTGCAAGCAGCTGGAGGTCAGGGAGCTGGCAAGCATCTGATCCACTCTAGTGGAGGGATTCTCTTCTACAAGATTACTTAAATAATTCGGGAGGAGGAAAAACAGTACAGTTAGAGCCAGCTCTCCCACTCAAGAGTCAAAATGCAAGGGTCAAGCTGAACTGCACAACAGGCATGTTTTACTACCCGAGGAGGGSAGGGTGAATAAAAGAACAGAAAAGTAATTTTCCTTCTTCTCCTAGGCAGAAAATATATGATATTTTCTAGTCAACCATTACTAAGTTAGTGAATTGAAAAACGGAGTCCCAAACAGGGTGCAAGACCAGCATCCTGGAATAAATCCAGCATTGTCTTTTCCAAATGCTTGTGCGAGGTTAACAGGAGGACTGACTTCTATGGTGGGAAATACCCCACTCAAATCTTTTGTATTCATTTTTGATTAACGGCTTCAGTCCTTGGAGAATTACTGGCTGTCTGGTAACAAAGTTCAAAGCCTTTTGTGTGAGGGAAGATGGGTAAATGGGCTCGGAGAGCAGAGCAGAGGGTAGAAACGGAGTGAGGGAAGAAAGGAGGTGATTACAGATGGATGAATACAAGAAAAAGGCAAGAAGAAAAAGAGAGACGGGACACAATATATGAAAAAGAGAAAAAGGGGATGGAAATAACACAGGACACCACAAGCTATTTGAACAGAAGTTCTGAAATAGAAGATTCCTGGAGCTCTTGTTGATAGTGACTGAAAGAAGGTAAAGGGCAGTTTCCAGGTGCTAAAAACATAAAAAAAAAAAAAAAAAAAAAACCCTAAAATGGGAGTAGGAATTCTCCTAGTTGAGCTTCTCTATATAAGCAATTGCAGTTACAATACAGAGGTTATAAAGCTGCAAGTGGAAGGAGCTGCATTCTGTAAGAGATGGCCCCATGATATGCTCTGTACTCTGCATTTGCCTTTGTAACTCACGTATCAATCCAGCTGAGAAACAAAAGCAACATCAACCAAGAAACAAGGACGTAGCATAAACAAGAAAACAACATATACAAATATGTACAAACTGCAGAAATACTTTAAATGAAGTTTTAACAACTTCCTGCCTACTAAGCCACACTTTAGTAGGTTCAGAGGTAAAGCTGTTAACCTATAAAGCTGAATGGGTTAAGGTTTGTTGACCCAAATTCTTTTTCCTCCTAAGTCAAAACCACTTCAACTGCAGGTTCTATAGCTTGAACTAGAGGGAACAACTGGGAGAGTGTTTCCTGTAAGACAGTTTCTACTTTGAAACTTGTTTGCAAGTTGCTCTGAAACTGCCTAGCTTTGCTAAGCCACCAAAATTACAAGACATAATCATTTTCTAAAATACTGGATGAAAGAAAAGCAAGAAAGAAGCCGAACTATTTTCTGTTCGTTCCACTACTTTGACTGGCTAGTTGAATGCTTCTTCTGGGATGTCTGAACCTTTATTATTATCATCATCATCATCATCATCTTTTATAAAGTCATATTTTTAACCTGGTAGCAGGGCTGCAGTGGTGCTTTGGAAATTCCAAACAAACCGCACACTTGATATTTTGAATTCAAAAGAAATTGGAATACAATTGAGCTAAAATTAAACCTGCACTGTGCTATTTCTTTGGAAAGCATCAAGTCTGGCAGCTACACATCTTGCTACACATTCTGCTGTTGCTAGTAGATTCAGCCATCGTGCTATAGAAAATGTAAAGTTCTTAAACCTAAACAAATGGCTTCTGATAACAACCTATTGACCTGGTCTACCATACTGAAACAAAGAAAAACTTTGKTTTTTTTTTTCTCCTTACTAATTAACCAGTCTAAGCAGCCAGCAACTTCCACCTTGGAATGTGTCAGCACAAATTCTTACACATCACAAGAACCGTAAGAGGGTTCTGCATATTCACCGGGTTCATCCGAACAGATCTGTGTGGGATCAGGGTCCAGGGCGGATATCTTAGTGAGCAGGATGCCCCGCTATGGATTTCGTTGCTCTTGGCATAACTAGCGCACGGAGGCTTCAGCTCAAGCGCCGGCGCGTGGAGGCGCTCGGCAGGGCAGCCCGGCCTCTGGAGGCTTCTGCTGGGCCACGCAAGCTCTACCTCTCCTCCCTTCCTACCACACTCCCCATCGCCTCGCACAGTCCTGCCTTTCCCAGCTCTCATGGGGATACTCTCATCTTTTGACAACCCACATCTCTGTATCTCCCATTTTTCTGCATCCCTTCCGATGTGCCTTCCTTCTCTTCTCCTCACTGCAGCCCCGTTCCCTGAACACACTTCTACATCTCCCACCCCAGACGCAGCAGCGCAATGACGCAGACGCAGGTCCTTGCCGGGGGCTCCTGTAGATCCCTGCAGCTCCCCGGYGGGCAGGAGACGGGCACGCGCCGAAGGGGCAGCCAGCGGCGCCAGCAGGACCCACGAGCAGCACTGCGGTTCCCACAGCTCCCACGGGCCACGTGCTCTGCTGCTCAAGGCGGCAGGAAAGTTTCAATGACCGCATGGAAGCGGCCCACTGAGAAGGGTGGATCAAAGCTGTCTCCAACTGCGAGTCGTTATGACGGAGAAGCAAGTAGCAAAAYGGGGCTCTGTCACCTGCAAAACTCGTGGAAATCTGCACTAATTCAGTGATGAAGCAGGCCATGATCCTGGAATGCCTCTAATTCCACCGGGGATAAACATTCTTCTTTGGCACTTACCCCGACACCAAACGCTGAGAGGCCGTGACGGGGTGAGCGGGCCTATGGGAGCGGCGCGGGAAGAGACGGGCGCTCGCTCAGCGGGACGCGGCAGCCACCGAGCGCACCCAGCACCACCTGGATGGGCAAGGAGCACGGCGAGGAGGCCCCAGCCTCCTCCCCTGCACACACGCTGCCTTCTCCAGCACAAGGATTTTTCTCTGAGACTGTAAAAGGTTTGCTGGAAAACTGATGTTTCAGCATAGTGCGCTCAAAATAAAAAAAATGAAGACGACTTCCCATAAAATCAATACAGAGAATGAGTATGTGTTTGTTTTAAAAGCCTTTGACGCTTCATTTCTCCAGGCAAATGTAATGTGTAAGGGTTACTTCTAATGTGAGAAATAAAATTCCTACTGGCTACTCTCCGAACAGACCAGATTTAACGAGAGGAGACAGTAACGCCGGCTTTCTTGCCATTGCTCCGCTGCCCCAGCTTATCTTGTTCGACAGTGTCCTAAAGATACAGACCTAAGATTTCCAAGGCAAAGAAAAAATCTAGAAGCATAAAATACTACAAATAAAGTATTTTAAATACACACTGCAGCTTCATCCACCCTCCATTCTTACATCTCTGCTCTGCCCATTTTGAGTACTTCTTACAACTAATAGTCACTTACTGAAAGGATGAGGCAGGTTTCATGCAGTCACCATCACTGACGCAGTGAGACGCGTCTTTAACCACCCAAGAAGCACATCTAACGTTCTAACGTTACTAACACAGTGCTAATGATAATCAATATATAAATGAAACGTTAACTATCAAAATTATAGTTCATTTTAAACTCAGATTCCATGAAAACACTCATAAAACTCACAAGCCATTTTGATGYTTAGGTGAAAAGCCAATTGAAAAACACTGATCCTCTCAACCTCACAAGGAGAAGGCATAAACTTCAGAACTCTGCTGTTTGCTCTCCTCCTCACCCACAGGATAATACAGCACTGACAGAAGGAGCATCGCTCACTTCAGAGCAGTAAGTATGCAGAGATGCGGGAAATTACTAGCAATCTTTTTTAGTAATTTTATCCCAGAAAGAAAGAACACAATGTGTCTAAGGCATGGCTAAAGTGAAAAGAAATTCCTGAGAGGTGTAGAAYAAATGATAAAGCTGGTAAAATAATCCTCTGCAATTACAGACACAATAAAGAGCCATTCGCAATTCCTGAAGCTCACCTGTATCAGAGGCTACATGATAAACAGAAAAGCTCTGCCAAAGAAAAAGCGATGAAAGCTTTTGGCTTGGGGGCTGCTTTTCTCTTTTTTTTCCAAATAGAAGAGAATTATTCTTTGTTGTCAGAGCTGGCATTACAAAAGAGAAGAGTTTTAGAGTCATCTGTGTTACGGAGTTCATTTTTCCCCCGTAAAACTTACAAAATGATTTCACATCAGCTTCCATCAGCCTGACCCATGACATCACTGAGTCCTGGCACGATCCAAATCTGCTGCTTAAAATGCTCTGGGAGCAGATATAGTAAGTCATGTTTCTGAGCAAAGTAAATACAGCTTTCTCATAGAACATGTAAGGAGAGAATTCTTTTGTTAGCTGTCAGTGGGATTTTGCTATCTTTGTTAAATATATAATGGTTAGTGTCATAACAAAGATCAGCCATCATGTTATGGCATTTATCTTCATGAGGGAAGAGAGGAAGGGCTACTGTGATTTATTCCATCTCTCCTCATGAGACGATTAATGTCATAAGAGATTAGTCTTCAGTGCTGACTGTACACAGAACAAAATATAGGGCTAGAGTGGGATGCTGAGCAGCCCTAATTGCCACGAGTTTGGAAGCCCACCTTACAGATGGTCGACAATTCTCATCTAAGCTTTTCAGAAAYAGGAGAATGTCTTAGGGTTCACTACTTCATATGCATTTTATGTCACGGATTAGTTCAGTTCTTCTTCTGCAGTCTTTCTATATTGTCCTTTCCCCCACCTCAGCGCCTAAGTCCTCCCACTGCTCTATTAAACCCATCATGTCTTGCAGCACTAAAGTGTTCCGTGAGCTGCTGGTTCATAGTGATACTTGTCACACCTGTTTAAAGGCTTGAACAATATACCATTTAACAACTATCACTAGGAAACATTTATCACAACGTAAGAACAGAAGGAAAACAATAGATTTTTATCTGTCTTTGCATTCATATATAAACACATTTAAAAAAGAAAAAAAAAATGGGATTGGAGCAGTTTTCCTCAAGTTTTGAGCAAAGCTACACAACCACTTCTTTCCAAGGACATTAAAAAATAATCTGACCTTCTTGAATGTAAACTAATAATTTTTCAGTACACTGTCCTYCTAGGGAAATGTACATGTAGGATTTTGTTCTTATGAAAGAAAACCCTTCAGATTACACTGTGATGAGAACATGGAAACCATGATAAACAGAAGTTCTGTCAAAGGGGCAAGGACTATATTTTCCCTTAAAATGGAGAATGAATTTTCTTAATTTTCTTAARTTCTCCTTTTCTGGATACTATGGTACCTTACCAAGGTGGTTAAACCCATCCTTGATTTCAAACAGAACATGTTATTAAAGAGCTCTCACCACAAAGCATTCCCTTATTTAAGCTTCTCAAACACCAACTTAAAGACTTTTATCAGACTGTTAATCACATCCACATACAATGTAATCATCAACTGAGACCAGCCCTGCCAGGGGGGCCAGTCAGGTAACACGGTAACGTTATGGCAAGGCAGAAGTACCACGGAAGCTAATGCATTTATTTCTTATTGATGGTAAGTGGACAAAGGTAAAAATCAGTGGGTCCTCACTGTTTACCAGTTGGATGCTATTTTTCCTAGAGACTTAAACCAACAGGAGCAATTATGTGGCATAGGTAAACTCAATCAACGGGGCCTCCAGCCTATACAAAGGAAGAAAGATGAACTGTGACTTCAAAACTGGAGGTGGCGCGGAGATAAAAAGCTGATTGTCAAACCAACAGTGCCAAGTGCAGATCRTGTCTTTGCCCATGAGAGAAAAATCTGAAGGTGCTCAGGATACTCCCTGCCTGTTGTGGAGGCTCCAAACTCCTAACCCTGCTCAAAGGGATCACTCTGAGCTATGAGACTGGCTGACTCCCCGATCAAACTGGGCAACCACTGACCAAGTTACAGTGGGAAATGAGAATCAGCTGTGCGTTGTGCAACCACCTCCACTGAACTGCTATCATCTCCTGAACAACAGCAAAGTAATTAAGGAGTAACAGCGGATTTTCTGAGGGAATATAAACACAGAGACTTCTTATAAAGCCAAGTTTCCTGTCAAAGACAAATTTTTATTTTTAATAGATTTTAATTTGCCCAATGTATTTCTTATCCTTGGACCATCCCCCTCCACCCCTACAGGTTGAGCAGATTCAGCTGTTTTCTGGCAAGGGAAACTACCCAAGAAAAACACCACAAAAGGCTAAAACATGGTTGATAGATAATGGATTCAGTTGTGATTTTATTCTTTTCTATTAGCACCAACATGCATACGTTAAAGGATCAGAGTTTTCTCAAACATCACACTTCCCCAGGAAATGTAGCAGTAAAAATCATCACCTCCTAGGAAATGTTACTGGCAAAGGACTTCAGTGTCTGCGGTTTTAGGCATAACGTTATAGATGTTTTAAAAGATCATAGTGATAAACAGATTAACTACATCTTCCACTTCCCCCTAAAATAGCAAGCAACAAATGAACAGAAAAATGAAAATTGCTTATGCAAAGTTTACACTGCCTCAGCCTAGGCTTCCACTGTAGCTACTGAACTCATAAACGTGCCATTGAATCAATATGAGTAAGTTATGAGATTCAAATTCAGGAACACAATTTTCCTTTAACTGTGCCAAGCAACCTCATCCAAAAACACAAAATTATGCACAGAAGATTTAGGCATTATTCCCTGATGTTGAAACAAAAATACACCAGATTCATAACAAGGAAACTATCACCGTCTCTTCTTCAAGCATCACACCAGAGAGATTTTACAAATAGGAGATTCTAGGAGAACTATTTATGCATGTGATTTGCTGTCCTCAAAATAAGTTGGGCAAGATCACTTGAAACTAATCCTGAAAATTCCGACAGGAGATTTTTTTTTACTAAACGGATGAGAGAATGTTTCAGAAGGCAAATGGTTCTTTTCAATTATTTCAAAGGAATTACTTATAACTTCCAACAATACCCCTTTGGCTGAGAGGGCCATAAAGGAAATTGTTCTAAAATTAGATAGACTGCAACATAATAAAAACAGARTAGTTCATTTCAAAGACAAAGGCTCTATCTTTTACAGAGCAAAGAAGCCAGAATGTTTTATCTTGGTGTATCTTTGCCATTCTTGCATTATCAAAGTTTGAGAAGAATCCAAACATTAAATGGAAAGTTTGGGGACTTCAGCAGGTTACCTTTTAAGTGATAAGATAGCAAAATGGTAAGTAAATGCTAAGTACCACATGCTCTGGGTGTCCCTGCTGGAGCAGGGGGTTGGACTAGATGATCTCTAGAGGTCCCTTCCAACCTCAACCATTCTGGGATTCTGTGGTTCTGTAAATAAACAAAATTCACTTTTCACAAATAAACAAAATCTTTTATCCTAGAATATGGAAGTATTTTTTCCATTCCTTTCACTTTCAAACATGAAATTATATTGTATATTATATTGATGTATATTATTGTATTGTATATTATATTGATGGACACTGTATGTCCATCCGGTGTGAAAATACCAGTCTCTGTTTTACCATCTCCCAACGCAGCAGCAACATCTTTCTCCTAGGATCATCAATATTATTCAGGCACAGCTCTCTCTTCAGCACATAGCAGGTCAAGAGACCAAGACTTAGTTTCATTCTCTTCTACTAACCTCAGAAAATGTATGTAAATACTTACAGTAATAAGCTCCATATCTTACTATATACGCATATATCATTTAAAAAGACCTTTTTCAGAAGATTAGTCTTCAGAACRCTGATCACCAGATCCTTCCCCTCTTCTTCCACACTCCATTTTTTTCTATAAAACTGACTGCAACTTTCAGCCACCGCATGAAGYTTCCTGCCATTCTGGCTTTAACTTCGTTGAGAACAGCAAGCAGGTGCAGTGGTATTTTTCTTTTTAACCTGTTGTTCACCGTGCGGCTCTTTGGGAAGCATTCCCCAACCACCATGCGGACGCTCCAACTCCACTTAYCTAGGCAGCCACTTTCGCAGATCTGAGCATGAAGATAGCAGCAATGTTATATATAATTAATTTGAAACATTCACATGCAGCTCAGACACTAATGTAATGGGTGAGCAAAGGAGAATTTTGGAATGAAACTAAGTCTGATGTAATTTAGCAAAGTTAACATTGGCTACACACATATTTACAATTTAAAATATTAATGGAAGTGTTAAAGACTTCAGGAAATAGTAAAATGAGGGTTTTTTTGAGGGAATCTCAAACAGAACCTGTCTGAAAGCAACCCCACAAATGGATAGAGACGGAAATGTCTGTTTTGCAACAAACTGATTTTGCAACATATTAATTCTTTCATTAGAGGTTTGCTTGTAAAATATTTTTAAATACTGGGCCAAACTGGCCAACTAATGTGAAAGATCAAGATATTTTAAATAGGTTTGTCTTGTTTTTCAAAGAGATCAAAAGAAGACAGATGACCCTCTTCTGGAGCACTTTCCACATCTATACATCACGCAGTCACTAAAACAATCCTGACCCATTGCTCTGACCCAAGTGCTCCAACACGTGAAATCCGTTTTCTAGTTTCCCGTCTACTGCTGTAGTTTCCAACCCGCCGTTCAAAGCCCTGTTCAGAGACCTCCTTTTCGCAGTCTATGAAACTCAGTAACGCAAACTGGTTTTCCCTCAGTGCCTCTGCCCACCCTCCCCTATCACTCATCTCTGGCACGGTATCCTGCACTCCTCAAACACAGCCAGGCCAGCATCTATTTGTTCACTTCTCCCATATTTACACTCTTTTTGTTGAACGACTCCCCAGACAACCCTCCATGAATTCCAGAGTCTCCTCCTCAAGCAACAATTCTGCTGTGGCTCTGGAGGCTAAAGCAACAACCCACAATAGTTAATATCAACATCAAGCACGCATTGCAAAAGGACTGCATTCCAGTAATGGACAGGCAGTAAGATATCTTCAATAATAACTTATGTGCAATGACTGCAACAGCTATTTACATTTTGTGAGGTTGTTCACAGCTGGATGATGAGCCCTCTAGGTAATTCTGCTTGCAGACATCCAGCTGGACACAAAGATGTCTTCAAAATGTGCATTATGAATGAAATAAATTATTAAATAAATTATAGTACATTAGGCCTATTCTTCTAGGAAAGAACCTTGTGCATCATTGCTATAGCAAACTGTTGAAGAGGCTCAAAGCCTAGAAGTCCTAGAAAAAAAAAATCTAAAAGGCTGCAGAAGTGACTGAGCACCATTAATGAGTATTTTTCAGGAAAAAAAAAAAAACGGGCTTTTCTGTCTAGATACTGCCAGGAAAAAAAAACAGCCGAGACATCTAAGTAGCTCATGGATAACTGAGAATTTTAGGACCTAAAAAAAACACCAATATTGTACTACACCTAAAAAAACACCAAAAATGTATTAGGATTATTGAGATAGCTGGATGTCTAACTTGCTATTTAAACAGATGGGACTAAAACAAACAAAAAATTCAAAACAGAAAGTTATCACTTACTGAAGGATGAAGTTGTGCACTTTGGCAATACAGTGACAGTGGGAAGGCCCCATCACATAAAAAGAGAGCTAAAGTCATGAAGGAAAGAACAAAATGATACTGGATATGAAGGTCTGACTGTAATTTACTATATTCTGTAGACTTTTCACCAAGAATGTCAAATATAGTGGCCCACTGCTCATGCTCCTGAGAGTCAACCTGCTGATGTATCCTTTGATTAAGTTTTTTTTTTTTTTTCACTTTCTAAACACTGAGTTGTACAAGAGGTTGACCAGAATATAGTGATTTAGAATTTATTGAGGAGAGCTGCTTCACAAAATTCCTGGTCTTCTTCATAACCAAGATCACAGGAAGAAGGAGAAAATACTTTCTACATTAAGTTCTCCATATCATTTACTACCTCAAGACACTTATCTGTCAAGTAACATTTATGAAGTTGAAGTTGTAGATTTCTACCGAACATTACTACCTGTAGGTCAGGTTATCTCCTGTAGGATGTGACTATTACCCTGCTGAAAATGATGTCTAGAGTTGAATATCTGCAAAGCAGTGAAAAGAACCTCATTATCACTGACTCAACTTTACCAACCTAGACATGTTGGAAGACCAGTTTTAAAACACAATACGTAGCACCTGCCTGCTAAATAAATCATTTTCTGGTGCTCCAAAATCATGAACCACCTTCTAGGACGTGACCTGGAAAGTCCTTTGCTGAGAGCTGTGAATGTCTCTAGTGCTCCCAGAGTGCAGAATGAACTGTGGTTGCCAATGCTGGCAAACATTGCTAGGCAGAAATTAAACTCACAGTGCACTCACTACAGGTTCATTTAGGACAGATGAGGTACAGGGTGGCCCTTGGCAGGGATGACCCTCAACCTCTAACAACCAGTTCCCACATTAAAAACTTTCTAAGTGCCACAGACACTGCAGAAAGCTCACATAAGACTCGTCAGCTCATGAAAGACATGTCCAGGTCTACAGAGACATTGTCATGCTGAGTGTAAGCTGTTAAAGACAGCCAAACACTTTGTGTTTAATGGATGGGAGCAGAGAATTATTAGAGTCCCTTTGCTGCCTGCCCCCAATGCTAGAAACCCCAGAACTTGCTTGGAATAAAAGTGAACAGAAGTGCCCTGAGTCCTCTGGACACCACATGCACCCACCACCCCAAACAATGCAATGACACTGAAGAAAACCTAGGAAGAAGGTATGTGCTGTCAGATAACTACTAATGTTTCTCACAACACCTCACTATGTCTGTGCTAAATTACTATAACAAATTACTGCAGTATAGTTACTGAGGACATATTTAGGATTGGTCTGTTTGGATGCTTGATTCCTTTCATTCATAAATTTCTCACAAGGATGATTTGGTCACTGCAACTGGAAGCTATGGAATCTTGCTGAAATAATTGCCACTAATCCCACCTACTGCCAGGTCCTGAAACCACACACAGTGGAAATGGAGGTAACTGCTGAGTTACTGCCAGCATATACTTAATATACTGGAACATATTAAGATTATCATGATACTCTGAGAACTGGAAATCATTTTGAGACATACAATATCTCAAAAACACTGCTCCAAAGCCAGGAGGAAAGTATAGCACATGGTCCTCAAAGTGGCCTTAGTTTACTGGCTGCAGCCATAAAGAACAAAGCAAAGGTTCCTCCAGCACAAAGTACAGCAACTTTGACTTTCATCCTTGAAAAGCCCAAGCAACTTACTCCAAACTAGGATGTTACAATGACACAGTTTGATCCAGGCTCTCAGCGAAGTGGGTTAGCAGATATAAAGCAACGCAGCTGAGATGAGGGGATAGGCCCTAATGTGTGATGAGTGACAATGATGTCAGTTGATCCAATGGGTACCAAATGAAACACGCTAAATCTTGTGTGTGACGAACTTGCAAACTGACTGTAAAACTAAAAATTAGATCAGTTATTTCAACTCAAACATGCAGTAAAACAGGAAAATGCTGGTTCATCTCCTACAGAAAAGAAAGGTAAGCTAGGAGCCATGGTTAGGCTAGGAGAATGGTTATCCATTCACTGGTCAGTGAGCATTAAAGTCTAGCTTAAGGCACTGAGAACCCTGCTATTGTGGGAATATTCAGATGTACATTCCTGTAAGGACTGATGTCACTCTGCTTTGTTAGAAATGATGTGACATTACTGAGAACAGGGCTGGTTCCTGGGTTGGGTTCCTTCCTTCCTAAATGTCTGTGATGTCAAGGGTTAAAGATAAGAGTTAGAATCAGTGTTCCTCTCAGGCTGCCCTGGAAGAATGTTAAGGTGAGTTGGCATATAATAAATGTACATTCTGTTTGTAGGTCACCTTTAAAAAATTCATCATAATTTCTGCAATATTTTATACCAACAAAATGAAAAACTGACACTTAAAACACAAGCACAGAAATGCAGGTTTGACCTTGTCTAACAAGTGCAAAAATTACTTTGAATAAAACGAAGTGGAGGAAACCCTAGAGCACAGCAAAATAAAATACAGCTCTTCAAAGCAGCATTGATTGTGGATCAAAAGGAAGGGCCATCAGAACTTCCCAAGCCACAGTGTTTCTGCATGTCTGTAAAAGAATCAACTCAGAACAAATATGGAAATAATAGTACGCCTGTGTTAAGCCAACAACAAAGAAATCCTTAATATGGTACAAAGAAATCCTTAATACTGTAAAACAAAGTCATGTCAAATCTCTCATTTCTGGAGATACTTTTTTAAAATATTGTGAAAGGGGATTCATGTATTTATAGTAACAAAAGTGAATACTTAAGACAAAAGTCAAAGGGATTATCATCAATGATCTATCTCATTTAATTTGTGTTTTTTAAATATGAAGTTATAATGCAAAACTATTTCCATACCACTATATGATCTATTTCAACTACACTATCTTATCAGAACAGATGAAACAACAATCACTTTTTGGACAGCCAGTCACATTAAACAGGAACACACAAGTTAACAATTGCAATGGGATTTGTCCTTTTTCTCTCTTTTTTTTTTTAAGCATTGTTTTTCTTAATTAATTGGCATAATTTTCTTAAAGTTTACAAGAGTAGCAGAACAACTCTTAATTAAGAGTTGGATCCTGTCAGGAAACTACTGTAAGGAATACAAGAATTAAGGTATATTACTCACCCAACGTTCACATATCACCTGAACCACAAGGACTCTCCACAGCACCGTAAAGCATATATGGTCTTCAGTAACATAAGCAAAACCTTCCTTTCAGAATGAAATTTGAAGAAGGTTTGGAAGAGAAAAAGCAAGAATATTGGAAAAGGAAAGCAGCACCTAATGGATGAATAATCCCACAAATACAACTGTAGGATCTCTTTCTTCAGAATCAACTAGAGGCAGCGACTTAACACCATGTATAGGAAAGTGAAGCGGACAATAACTCAGCAGGCAGTAAAAAAAAAATCCCTTTAAAAAGTT